TTGTACATCTCTGTCTTAAAATCAAGTCTAAATTGCAAGTCTCTATAACGGGTGTCAAACTGGATTTCTTTGAGGACCAGATCAGAATTGTAGTTCTACTCCATGGGGCAGGGGGAGAGCGGGGGGGGGGAACAGCGGGAGGGGCGGGACAGATGTCTCCTGCAGCACCCTGTCAGCCAAAATGGGGTGCAGGGGATCTGCGCATGACCCCCCCCCCGCACCTCGTTTTCAGCCTCCATAGCTTCCTGAAACATTCTGCCATTTTCAGGCCTGTTTTCAGCACATTATCAGCCCGTTCTTGGGCCCTTTTTAAGGGCATTTTCCAGCCTGTTTCCGGTCCATTTTCGGGCCCTTTTAAGGGCATTTTGGGGGCATTTTCCAGAGCATTTCTGGCCCATTGTTGAGTCCTTTGAGGGAGGGGGCATTTTCCAGCCCATTTCTGGCCTGTTTTGGGGCCCTTTTTAAGGGCATTTATGGGGCATTTTCCAGCCTGTTTTCAGCTCATTTCTGGCCCTTTTTTGAGACCTTTTAAAGGGAATTTTGTGGCATTTTCCAGCCCATTTCTGGCCCGTTATTGGGCCCTTTTAAAGGGCATTTTGGGGGCATTTTCTTGGCCATTTTTCGGCCTGTTTTCAGCTGGCAGAGTGCTGCAAGAGGCCATAGTGGGTGAAAATGAGGTGCGAGCCATCCACACACGCAGCCCGTTTTAACCGCCAGAGGCACCGTGGGCCAGTCCTTTGATATTTTCAGGCCCCAGTGGCCGGATTTAAGCATCTCACGGGCTGGATCTGATTCACAGGCTTTAAGCTTGACACCCCTGCTCTATAATAACACCGCAGACTTTTCAGGTTAACAAAAATCACGTCGTTTCAACAAACAGCAAACACTGAGAATGGATACAGCTTTAACTGGACATCTTTGACTTCAAACCCCATCACCTCCACCACCTAGGGATGGCTGTGGGTGATGGGAAATGTAGTCCAAGCCTGCTTCCAGTCATACCACTTAGGGCATTTCAAAGCCAGATTCAATACCGAGGGCGGTTATTTCTCAAGAGAGGGGGGAAAAAAAACCCAAAACGTTAGAATTACCCTGCCCGTTTGGAAAACAAACACAAGACAGTCTGGATAATTTACCTCAAAATTTATGACAAAATTATCCGAATGTGTAAGAAGGAGGTCAGGGAGGCATATATTTATTTCTCTAAGTTCATTATGTTTTTAACAGATAGGTTTTCGAAGGCCTGAACACTATCGTTTGTCACGGTAGATTAATTCTAATGTGAAAGTTAGACACTGTGGCTTGCAATAAATATGTCGAATTTAGTTTCCCGATAAACCGGTGAGATGGGCTACACTAAAAATTGACTGCCACAAGGTCATCTGGGAAGGGTTCCCCAGCACAGAAGAAGTTTGGTGCCCTAGTGATAGCTCTTAGAAACATAAGGCTGGAAGGTCTAAACTCCCCCTTCTCCAGGGAAGGGGTCCTCGTACCATCGCAAACAAATTGTTGTCCAGTCATTTCTGGAAGCCTCGGGGAGTCAAGCTATGCCGTGGATTGGTTGTTCTCGTTGTCAAACAATTCCTTTTTCTCTTGTATTCATATTTTTATTGTACTTGTAGAGATTAGAAGAAGATATAGGAATGTATATGAATAATTAGAAATATGTGGGAATGTGAAATATAGATAGGTACTAGATTTATTTAACAAACTTGTACTTACAGTCTTTGAAATTAGGCTTGATATATTTACACTTATATTTACACATATTTATACTGTATTCATTTATATGCTTATAGATACATATTTACATATGGAACAATTAGAATCAGAATTGTGTACATATTTATACATGCATTAAACTATATTAACATTATCATATACTAATGCCATATAGTATAATCATATAGGATTCATATAGTAATGTATACTGAGAGTATTTGCACCAAGACAACTTCCTTGTGTGTCCAATCACACTTGGCCAACAAAGAATTCTATTCTGTTCTATCCTATCCTATCCTATCCTATCCCATTCCATTCTCCTTTCCTCTATTCTATTCTATTCTATTCTATTCTATTCTATTCTATTCTATTAATGCTACATACAGCCAACCAACTTTCATGGTTAAGGAGGAACTAGAACTCTCCATTGCCTAGTGATTGGCCCAAA